CCGATGCGGGACTCGATCCCGGGACTCCAGGATCATGACCTGAGCCGAAGGCAGTCGCTTAACCGACTGAGCCACCCAGGCGCCCGGTGGTGGCTGTTTTTGAGAACGTTCGTTTGTGTAGCATAAATGTGCAGTCTGCACAAAGGTCTGGGGGAGAGCTTGTCTCCTCCTGCCCAGCGGTGACCGTTGTCTGCCCGGGGGCACTGGTCCCCCTGGGGCGGTGTCGGCCAGCTGGCTGCCCAAGGCCGCACGAGTCCCTGTTGAGGCCCGCGGCAGTGTTCCCGCGTGCCACACCCCTGATGTGTGTGCCGCGACGGCCGGCCCCCCGGCCCCCCGGCCCCCTGTGCCTGGTGTGGGCTTCGGGGCAGCTGGGCTCAGCCCCTGGCCTCCCTCGAGCAGGTGCAGTCGGCCGCCTTGGACGAGATGTTCCACCGCCGGGAGGACTGTGTCCAGCGCTATCACAAGGCTCTGCTGCTGATGGAGGGTTTGCAACACATCCTCACCGACCAGGCGGACGTGGAGAACATTGCCAAGTGTGAGTGCCGCCTGGGCCAGCCAGGGGACGGCTCAAGGGAGAGGCGGGTGGCAGGGTCCTGCTCACAGTGCCATTCTCGTTGCAGGCAAGCTGTGCATCGAGCGGAGGCTCTCGGCGTTGCTGACCGGCATCTGTGCCTGAGCTGTGGGGTGCCTGGCTCACTGTGCCCAGGGGGCTGGATCTCCTCTGCGGATCCCCCAGGCTGGGGGCGGCCAGCTGGCCAGGCTCGAAGGGACAGGCCTGTAGCCTTGGTGCTGCTTGCTGGTGCCAGGGAGGGGGGCGGGGCTCCCGAGCTGCAGGCCTGAGCTTCGGGGCGCTGGGAGGGCTCCATACAACCCGAATCCGGCCGGTCCCCCTGCCTCACCGATGGGCTGAGCTCCTGGCCTCCTTGAAGGCGGGTGGGCACCTGCGGCCGGCCCCCAACCCCAGCCAGACCCCGGGGCAGCCCTGATGCCGGCCGCCGTGCTGAGGACAGGAGGAGGCCCCGAGAGCCGCTCTGCCCAGGAAACGGTGTGGCCTCCTGGCCCCCCTCCTTCCCCGAGACCACCCACCCAGCTTTGTGAATCACGGAGCACTTTATGCAGGCGCAGTCCCCTGCCGCACTAGGAGGCGCGTGTGCATACCTACATACAGACGCACGTGTATGAACTGACAGGCTCGCGTGTGCGGGGGCCTGCTGCCCGGGATCCCCCGGGTAGACACAGACATCTTATTTAAATGTTCTTTTAGGGACGGACAGTACGAAGCACCAAGCTTTCTGAACCCAGAACAGACGTTGAAGTCTATTACACTTTACTCCTGAAATGTGTCTTATTTTTCTGCAGCTCTTTTTTTTTTAACAAAAGAAGAAAATTTGTAGGAGTTTAGGATGTTTGTTTAGGAAGGGTGGGGCAGGGCCGGGTGGGTGCTCAGCGTTGTGTGGATGTGGGTGGAGGCAGGGGTGCCTGTGAGGGCAGCCCTCCCCCCCGCCCCCTTCCCACCTGGAGGCAGTGGGCGGGCAAGGGGGCGGTTCCTGCAGAGCCTCCTATCCGGCTTTCACGGTGGGTTTGATGCCAAAGTCGTGTGTTCCCCCCTCCCCCCCCCACCGCAGGCTGGGTCCTGGCTGCTCTGGGGGTAGACTGGTGGGGAGAGGGCAGAGGAAGCCCGCCTGAGTCCAGGCGCCCTGGGTGAGGGGTTTAAGGTCTTAACATCAAGACGTGGACATCTTTGTGTTTCTTTCTTTGCAATACTTGAAATACTGCCCCTGTGCTTGGATTTCGTAGCAGCCCTGTGAGTCGTTGCCTCGTCCGCCAGTGACTTGGTTCCTTGCTGCACGGAACCTGTGCATATTTATTGCTTTACGGTCGGCTGGGACCCAGGCCACCGGGAGGCTGGTGCCACGGGAGGGGGCTCATGCAGCGGGCCACCACGTGCCTGCCTCCAGTGTGTGTGCTGCCAGCCGGTCTTGTCCTCCACGAATCCGCACCCGACCCTTGGTCTACTTTACAGGAGTTTTGTGTGATCCCCCCCCCCCATTTGCATTACATCGTGTAATACCATTGAAGGAAATAAACCTTTGGAATTGAGCCGGCGTAGCTGACGCTGGTTTGTTAGCATCTCTAACGTCACGCGCTGCGTCCGGGGACCTGCAGCGGTCTGCGCGTGCCCCCCAGACCGCCCACCCAGGGCACACTGGGTGCTCCAACGTGCATTCACGGCTGCGTCCACCCCCGCCACCAGGGTCGCAGTCTCAGTCCCGGGGGTACACCTGGGAGGGGGGTGTGGGTTGAGAGGGGAACCAGCTCCACGTCCACCCCATCTGGGGTGCAGGAGGGCCTGCTTCCTCCACATCCTCCCTGACGCGTGGTTCTGTCTGGATTCTGGCTGTTCTGGGGTTTGATGCATGGTGATCTCCAGCATCCTCTCGTGCTTGCTGGCCATTTCTAGGTCGGTTGAGTTGTAGGATTTGCATTTTTAAAACTACATACTGTTTCTGCGAGTTATTTCCTTACCAGAAAGGCTAACCGCAGTATTACATGGAAGCGTGCGGGAGGTAGCCTTAGAGGCAGTGGAGTGTGGGGCCTGGGAAGGCGGGGCCCGGGGGGTCGTGCCCATGCCTGGCTTCCTGCAGTGTGCACGCGGTGTGCACGCGGCGTCTGCAGACAGGAAGGGCTGTGCTGGTGGGGAATGGGGCTGGGAGGCGGAGCCCCTTCCACTCAGTGGGGCTCCTGGTCTATCAGTAACTGGAAGAAATGCCCTAAGGATTAGGACAATCATGGCATTTTGTTGCTAAATTAATAGGCTTCAGAGTTCCATATCCTCCTTTCCCCTGCCCTCCCTCCGTCTCTCTGAACACCTTGCGTTGGTGGGGGACATGAGCCTACATGGACACGTGCCATCAGCCTGGTCTGTAGTTGCTGCTGTCCATTCTTTGGGCTGGACACCTGTATGATGATACGTGTCCACCACCACGGTGTCACACGGAGTAGATCACTGCCCCCAATCGTCTGTTCTGCCCATTCCTTCCCTCCCCCAACCCCTGGCAAACACTGGTCTTTTTATTGCCTCCATAATTTTGACTTTTCTAGAATGTCCTAGAGTTGGAATCAGTGTGTAGCCTTTTCAGACTGGCTTCTTTCACGTAAGACGCATCTGAGGTTTTCCGTGTCTTGGCGTAACTCATTTCCTTCTGGCTTTGAATAATGCTGTATTATTTGGATGGGATGGGTCACTTTATTTATCCAGTCACCAACTGAAGGACGCCTTGGTGCTTCCAGGTTTGGGCAATTACGGCTGAAACTGCTAGAAAGGTACCTGTGCAGGAACTTGGTGGTAAGCGGTGGGCCCAGGAGGGCTGGGCCTGGGGTGTGGCAACTGCAGGAAGGGCTGGCTCCTGCCTTTCTGTCCGAGGACCTCCGATTCCCCAGCACATTCCAGGCATGTTCACCGGTGCCCAGGCCTACAGGGGCCCTTGGCCAGGAGGACCAGGCTCAGGCTGGCCACTGTAGCTGGGGGGTCTGAGGAGGGAGCAGGAGTGGTGGTCTGCTCCCCACACGACAGGTCACAGGGAGCCTCTATCCCCTGACAGTGGGCAGTTCTAACCTAGCACAGTGCTTACCTTCCTGCCCGTTTCACTCCTACCAGGATCCTGGGGCAGGCTCCTGCAGGGACACGTGCCTCCATCCTTTCTGCCTGATGTGGCCTGGCTGGGGGCTCCCCAGCAAGGGGCTGCACGTGGCACAGCCCAGGGTCTTGGGCTTGCCCCTGACAGCCCTTTACCTGGTCTGGGTCTCTGTCCCAGCACCAAGGAATCCTTGGCTCCCGTGTGGCGGAAAGGGAGAACCTCTGTTCCCAGTGGCATAGCCTGAAGCCTCAGCATCGAGCCTCCCCGGCTCCCTGGCTGGGTTTGTCCAGGTCCTCGACTCCTGTGGATGCCCTCAGCCTGGGGTCCCATGTCCATCTCCCTGTACCAGGGTGGGGCCCATGCCCTCAGAGCTGCTAGGGCCCGGAGGGAGAATTCCCCACAGAGGGAATCTCCCGGAAGAGGGTGGTGGTGCCCTGTGTGAAGATCGGTGCTCCCTGTGGAGATGGCTCAATGCTTCCTAAAGCTGAGCCCCCGGAGCTCCCCAGGTCACCCGTGACCATGCCCTTTTGTCAGCCCTGGCACATGGAGGCTGCGCTCTACCCTCCTGCAGAGGGGAGGGCTGTCCTGGGGGTCGTTCAGCACAGGTGAGCTGTCCCCTCCCACCTGCATGATCTCCTCAACCCATCCTCACTTTTGAGCTCAGAGGAGTATGGTGTGGTCTGCGGAGACCCTTGTCAGCAACCACCAACCCACTTTCTGTGTCTGGGCCTGCCCGTTGTGGACATTGCATATGAATGAGACCCTACACTCCTGGCCCTTTGCGTCTGGTTTCTTCCACTGCGGGAAGACTCACATCGTGGGCGCACCAGTACTTCGGTTCCCTCTGTACGTGGCGTTTAGTACTTTGTGATGCCCTATCTGTTTTTCTGCTTGGTTGGTCCCTGGGCGTCCCCGCACGAGAACGTGAGCTTCCGAGGCATAGCTTTGTCTTTGCGCTTCCGGTCCGTCTCCGCGCGGGCGCTTCCTGCCGCCTCCCAAGCCCTCCCGCAAGGTTTTCCCGAGGACCGCGCCGTCCAAGAGTGTCGCGTGAGCAGACGCCTGGCCACCACGGATCTGGGAGACGCGGAGTCTGGGGAGGCGCTGGTGTGCTCGCTCCCGGGAGCCGCGTCC